AAAAAAAAAAAAAAAAAAAGGTGGGAGGGGAGAGAGATTATACTTCTGATTCATTAAGTGGAAGTGGATCATCACAAGGTTTTCATCTTCATCATCTTCATGTTGAGTAGGCCAAGGAGGAGGAAGAGGAGGGGTTGGTTGGGGCAGCAGTGGGAGAAGACGTGAAGAAGGTAGAAGAGGGGGTTTTGGGGGGTTCAGGAGAGGCAGGCATATGTGGTATCACTTTTTGGGTTTTGTTTTTTTTTTTTAATCTTTTTTTTGTTCCAAGATGGAGTCTTGCTCTGTTACCCAGGCTGGAGTGCAGTGTTGTGATCTCTGCTCACTGCAGCCTCCACCTCCTGGGTTCAAGTGATTCTCCTGCCTCAGCCTCCTGAGTAGCTGGGATTACAGGCGCCCACCACCGTGACCTGCTACTTTTTGTATTTTTAGTAGCGACCAGGTTTCACCATGTTGGCCAGGCTGGTCTTAAACTCCTGACCTCGTGTTCTGCTCACCCCAGACTCCCAAAGTGCTGGAATTACAGGTGTGAGCCACCTTGCCCGGCCGGTATAAAAAAAATTTTTTTTTTGAGACTGAGTTTTGTTGTCCAGGCTGGAGTGCAATGGCACCATCTCCACTTAACGAAACCTCTGCCTGCGGGTTCAAGCGTTTCTCCTGCCTCAGCCTCCCGAGTAGCTGGGATTACAGGCATTCGTCACCACACCCAGCTAATTTTGTATTTTTAGTAGAGACGGGGTTTCTCCATGTTGGTTAGGCTGGTCTTGAACCCCTGACCTCAGGTGATCCGCCTGCCTCATGATCACCTGGGTTGATCCAAAGTGCTGGGTTACGGGTGCAAGCCACCACGCCCGGCTGCTGGTATAACGTTTATTGGAAAAAATCCACATGTAAGTGGATGGATTTGAATGGCACAGGTCCATTTATTTGTGAATTTTCTTCCACCTCTGGGGTAATGTTTCGATCACCCTCCTAAAGTTTTCTTGCACCCTTTTGCAACCAAACTCCCTCTCAATCCTTGATATTTGAGCAACCACTGGTCTGCTGTCACTATAGTTCAGTTGGCATTTTCTAGAATTTATCCCATGGGAAAAACTAAGGCAAATGTACAATGATATATGTATATGATATATTTATCTCAATGTTGTTTAGAGTTGTCAACTGGAGAAAAAAATGACCATTATATTAACAGACTGAATAAATAATGAACATCTATACAATGAAATACTGTATGGGAAGTGTAAGAGTAAATATAGTGTTAAGGTAAAGTTTTTTACATAAGTAATACATGGTACATTCTGTTGTACAAAAGGAAATCATTACAAAAAGGGTAAGGCCTTTTGTCACTGCCAACCCAGAAAATCACTGTTAAAGTTTGATGCGCATTTTTCCAGGCTTTTTCTAGACATGTATATATCTACATGCATATTTATATAGACATAAAAATATATAATCATGTTTTTTTTTAAGACAGAGTCTTGCTCTGTCACCCAAGCTGGAGTGCAGTAGCACGATCTCAGCTCACTGCAACCTCCATCTTTCAGGCTCAAGCGATTCTCCTGCCTCAGGCTTCCAAGTAGCTAGGACTACAGGTGCGCACCACCATGCCTGGCTAATTTTTTTTGTATTTTTAATAGAGACGGGGTTTTACCATGTTGGCCAGGCTGGTTTTGAACTCCTGACCTCAAGTGATCTGTCTTGGCCTCCCAAAGTGCTAGGATTACAGGCGTGAGCCACCATGCCTGGCATATAATAATGTTTTGAAGGTACATGGGTTTTGCAAAAATTCCTTATCCTGTGTCCAGTTCTGCAACCTGCCTTTTCTACTCAACAAGTCTTTGTAATCTCTTTATGCTGCTACATACAATACGCAATTGACCTTTTTCTCAATAGCTACCTATAATGGACATTTCGTAGTGTATTTGGCCTTGCCTTTACTGAGAAAGCTTTTGATAGATTTTTGCCATTGCTAAATTAAATTTATATATATTGATATAGAAATATCTCTATATCATGCTAAGTTTTTTAGAAAGATTAAGTGGAATATTTATATCAAAAAGAACTTTTATATAGTTATCAAAAAAATTGGAAGGCCACTAGTTTGCACAATTATTTTAGTGGAAGGAAGGAAGTTGGTTTATAAGCAGACTTCACTTTTCTTTTCCTTTGAGACAGAGTCTTGCTCTGTTGCCCAGGCTGGAGTGCAGTGGCGCAATTTCAGCTCACTGCAACCTGTGCCTCCTGGGTTTGAACTATTCTCTTGCCTCAGCCTCCCAGGTAGCTGAGATTACAGGCATGCGCCACCATGCCTGGCTAATTTTTGTATTTTTTTAGTAGAGATACTGTTTCACTATGTTGGCAAGGCTGGTCTTGAAGTTCTGACCTCAAGTGATCCACCTGCCTCGGCCTCCCCAAGTGCTGGGATTACAGGTGTGAGCCACCGTGCCTGGCCAGACTCTAACTTTTCCATTTTTTCGGTGGTAATCTTTTTTCCTGATAATATGTTCACAATCAAGTAATATCAGGGACTGCTGAGAAGTGAATGATGAAGGGGGATAAGGTATAGACCCTGCCCTTCTCTTTGCAGCTCCCAAGAGGGGCTGGAGAGGGGTTCGGGAGGGTGGGAAACAGCTTTGGCTGCCCAGAGCAGCTCTCAAAGGGGCCCGATGCTGAACAGGAGTCCTGAGGGCAGAGCTGGACAGCTATTCTGGAGATGGAAGGAGGGAAGACCATTGAGGCCACTTCCCGGGTGGAGAACTAGGGGTGGAAGTGACCCGCTTGTGGATCCAGCCCATCCTTCACCCCCTTCAGGCATGGACTTGAGACAGAGAAGAGATTTTAGACCAGGCTCCCATCAGCTCCCAGGAGTGTTGCCTCCACCTGTTCCCCAACTTTGCTCCGAAGGTTCAAGCTAGGCTCAACTCCCACTCCTCTAGTCTCCAAATAAGCACAGCACAGAGAGTCTGAGTGAAAAATCCACTTTAATAATCCAGCTTCATCTCAGCTGAGAACCTCCCCTCTCAGGTGCAAAGGGCTGGCAGAGAAGTCTTTCCAACAGGGCTCAATCCACTAAGAGATTACGGCTCAGAGAAGGGAAGAGCTCAAAGAAGCCCTGAAATGGGAGGCAGCATGGAATTTGGAATTAGTGAGTGACCCGATGGAGATGTCCCGCCACCCACCTCCCACCAACAGATGTTCCAGCAAGATAAGGACCAAGGTTTCATCTGTTCTTGACAGCCACCCCGGTCTTCTCAGCCCAGTCCCCTCTCTCCCTCCCCTCATTTTCCATTTCTTTGGGTCAGGGCCCCTGAGCCTTGAGAAGAATAAGGATCCTTGTTTAATCTCTTTCTTCTTTGTCTTTTGTAGAGACAAGGTCTTGACATGCTGCTTAGCCTAGTCTCAAATTCCTGGCCTCAAGCAATCCTCCCCCCTCCCAAAGTGCTGGCATTACAGCGTGAGCCGCCATGGTTGGCTAGGACCTTGTTTACCTACCTGGCCACACCATGACAACCAGCCCCCATTACTCAGGCCAGTCACTTGTGATGGCGAGGTTGTCCCAGAAACCAATCCAGGCACTAGAGGGGAAGGAGCTCTGCTGCCATGGAGAGGGTCCAGGGTGGGAGTTACCTTGAAGAGGGTGAGGGTCTGGAGGACTCCTGTGGTGCAGGCCATCTCCCGGATAGAGTGCATGGCCAGTTGGGGGCTGCCTAAATCCAGCACCCGCAGCCCCAGCCGAGAAGCCAAGATGGGTCCAATGGTGGTTCCACAGGGGGAGTCATTCCGGACCATGAGGTCCTAGGGAGAGCAGAAGACCCATTAGCAACATGCAGTGTGTGCACATTAGAGCCAAGGAGGAAACCATCTTAGAACTGCAGGGCCAGAAGGGGCCTGGGAGACGGTTCACTTCTACCCCTCTTCAGAGCATAAAATCAAAGCGAACGCTAAATGGCAGACCCCAAAGGACAATATATTCTGAATTCGTCCCATTCTATCTGCACTGCCGCAACCCTAGTTCCAATCCATTCTCCACACAGCAGGAAGGGGCATTTTTTAAAAGTATCCATCCTTCTTTGTCACCGTTTGTCTTGCTTAAGATCCACACCCACAGAAAAAAATCACTCAGTGCTATCAGTGTCTTTAAAAATATTGCTACTGACATTTTGAAACCATTTTCTTTATATTGTGGTAAAAGAGTAAATAAGAAAATCAAAATATGAGGCTAGATATCAAGCTTTTCAGTGTAAAACAATTATAAAATCAAATAAGAAATAACTATTGTTATTTTATGAATAAGAATTATAGTACTAACTCATAATTTTTATTTATTTATTTTTATTTTATTTATTTTTTCACGACATAATCTCTCCGTGATGCCCAGACTGGAAGTGCAATGGCACGATCCTGGCTCACTGCAGCCTCTGCTTCCCGGGTTCAAGTGATTCTTCTGCCTCAGCCTCCCGAGTAGCTGGGGCTACAGGTTGAGTGCCACCACGCCTGGCTAATTTTTATACTTTTAGTAGAGATGAAGTTTCACCATTTTGGCCAGGCTGGTCTCGAACTCCTGACCTCAAGTGATCCACCCACCTTGGCCTCCCAAAGTGCTGGGATTACAGGCCTTAGCTATTGCACCCAGCCTCATGATTTTTAAAATACGTACTTTTTTCTTGCTATGTCCATGGAAATGGTCCCAAAGTACTGTCCCCTCCACCAAGAACAATGAACACTTGCAGTGCCAGACCATGGTTTCTAATACCATTGTTTGCCAAAAACTACTGAGTCTGGGGGGCAAAATTAACAACACACACCTGCAATTTTTGTTGTGCTAAAAAGCAAGGAAACTTCAAGAGTCAAAGAGCACAGGACTTATGCTGAAAGGGCTCCCACTGGTCAAAGCCATGACAATTCACTATAATTATAGTGGACTAGGTCACATTGAATAAATGAAATTCTAAGATCCTATGACAATCAGAAATGGAAAAGCAGGTCAGGTGTGCTGGCTCACACCTGTAATCCCAGCACTTTGGGAGGCCAAGGCAGGCAGATCACATGATGCCAGGAGTTCGAGATCAGCCTGGCCAACATGGTGAAACCTTGCCTCCACTAAAAATACAAGAAATAGCTGGGCGTGGTGTTGTACGCCTGTAATCCCAGCTACTCAGGTGGCTGAGGCAGGAGAATCTCTTGAAACTGGGGTGAGGAGGTTGCAGTGAGCAGAGATCGCACCACTGCACTCCAGCCTGGGCAACAGAGCAAGACTCTGCCTAAAAACAAAAAAGAGGGAAAATTGAAAAATTCTTCGTCACTTGACACTTCACCTTGAAAAGTAGATAAGGGAAAGAATTAGCATTTATCCCACTTTCTAATAGGAATGATATTCCATGACAACCAAAGAACCCCAGTTGATTGGAGGGAGGACACTTCATAGAAGAATGGAAGACTCGAAGAATTCAGGGGAAGAGGGCATTTTTTGGTAAATTCTAATGAAATCATTGATTTAGGCAAGGATTACCATGACTGTTAAAACCATTAGGTGTCTGGTTAATAGGGCATCCATCACTTGTATGGGCCACTGTCAGGTCAACAGGAGAAAAACGACCATATAATGAAGGGATCGGGGACATCCCTGAACCAGTGGTCGATCTTTGCAAGGCTAAGGGTGACCCACCCAGATATCGTGTGTGTGACGCCATATGAACACATCAGCCATGTCTTCTATCCAAAAATGTTTAACTTGAGGCCGAGTGTGGTGGCTCACGCCTGTAATCCCAGCACTTTGGGAGGCTGAGGCAGGTAGATCACTGGAGGTCAGGAGTTCAAGACCAGTCTAGTCAACATGGTGAAACCCCATCTCTACTAAAAATACAAAAATTAACTGGGCGTCAGGGTGCACACTGGTAACCCAGCTACTTGGGAGACTGAGGCAGAAGGATGACTTGAACCACGGAGGCAGAGGCTGCAATGAGCTGAGATCACGTCACTGCACTCCAGCCTGGCAGAGTGAGACTCTCACTCTGTAAAAAAAAAAAAAAAAAAAGTTTAACTTGAATCCATCAAGTCTTTAGAAATTCCATTTGATAGGAAATATGGGGCTTACAGACAAGCTAAATGATACCGTAAGGCAGCAAGGAGACATATCCAGAAGTTTCTTGAACAAGCCAATGCTACTTAAAAAGGGGTGGGGGAAACTGTGCTACATTAGAAGACATTTAAGCAACGTGTCAGCCAAATAGAATGTGTGGTCCTGAGTTGGATACTACGGTGGGCTAAATAATTGTTAAAAAATATTTTGGGAATAACTAGGGAAAATGGAAAATGATCTGTGCATTAGATGAGGTACAAGTTTACTGAAACGACAATTTCCTGAAATGGGGTTGGGAGTGGTGGATCACACCTGTAATCCCCGAACTTTGGGAGGCCAAGTGGGGGAGGATCTCTTGAAGTCAGGAGTTCAAGGCCAGCCTGTGCAACATAGCAAGAACTCCATTTTTACCAAATACAGAAAATTAGCCAGGATGGTGGCATGCACCTGCAGTCCCAGCTATCTGGGAGGTTGAGGCAGGAAGATCTCCTGAGCTCAGGAGTTTGAGGGTGCAGTGAGCTATGATCATGCCACTGCACTCCAGCCTGGGAGACAAAGCAAGACCCTGTTTCTAATTTTAAAAAACTTTTTTAAAGAAATTGCAATAGAAAGGTGAAGATGACTGAGTGAAAAGACGCAACAAAAAATATATCCAATATAATATTTTTTAAAAGTATATATGAAGTTTAAGCATAGAAAAAAATCTGGAAGACTATACCAAATTTCTGGGGATTCGTGTTTTATTTTCTCATCTCTATCTGTATTTTCTAATTTTCTAAAATACATGTGTCCTACTTCTGCTGTAGTTATTAAAGAAAAATCCCCCAATGTCTTCTCACTGCCTTAGAATAAAATCAAATGCCCTTCCATGGCCTAGGTATTCCTACATGCTCGTTGAGCTGGGCCTCTGCCCTGACCAGCTCCTGCTCTCATCCTGGCTCTACCATCCTGCCTTTCTCTTCTCCTAATGTATCAGCTCATTCCTGTCCCCCTTGGGGTCTTTTTACTTGTGCCCTCTGGCTGGGACCCTCCCATAGCTGCCTCTTTCTCAGTGGTTAGATCTCAGCTCAGATAGAAGCCTTCCCGAAGGCAGAACAATTCAGCTTTCCAAAAGGCAGAACGAGCACTGTGCAGCAGAAAGAGCCCTGTGCTGGCAGTCAGGAAGTCATGGTTCTACGACCACTAGAACTTGCCCGCTATGACTGTCACTGAACCACCCATGCCCATGTCCCTGATATAGACAGGTAGATAGATATAGAAATAGACAGTCATGCACTATATAGTGACATGTCAGTCAAGGATAGGCCACATATGTGACAGTGGTCCCATAACATTATAATGGAGCTGAAAAATTCCTGTCGCCTAGTGACATCACAGCTGTTGCGACGTTGTGGCAGGATGCATGACTCATTTGTTTGTGGCGATGCTGGTGTAAACAAACCTACTGTGCTGCCAGTCATATAAAAGCATAACACATGCAATTATGTACAGCATGCAATACCTAGTAATAATGAGCTGTTATGGTTTATGTATTTACTATATTATGCTTTTAATTAATTAATTAATTTTGAGACAGAGTTTCACTCTTGTGGCCCAGGCTGGAGTGCAACGGCGCCATCTTGGCTCCCTGGAACCTCTGCCTCCCAGGTTCAAGTGCTTCTCCTGTCTTGTCTCCAGAGTAGCTGGGATTACAGGCGTGCACCACCAAGCTCAGGTAATGTTTATATTTTCACCCTGTTGGCCAGCTGGTTTTGAACTCCTGACCTCAAGTGATCCACCCACCTTGGCCTCCCAAAGTGCTGGGATTACACGCGTGAGCCACCGTATCCGGCCTATTTTTATTTTAGAATGTACTCCAATTATTTTTTTTTAAAAAGTGAACCATAAAACAGCTTCAGGCAGGTCCTTTATGAGCTATGCCAGAAGAAGGCATTGTTATCATAGCAGATAGCAGCTCCCTGCATGCGACTGTCTCTGAAGATCTTCCCACGGGACAAGATGTGAAGGTGGAAGACAGTGACACTGATAGTCCTGACCCTACACAGGCCTAGGCTCATGTGTATGTTTGTGTCGTTGTTTTTAACCAAAAAGTTTAAAAATTTTAAAAATAGGAAAAAGCTTATAGAACAAGGAAACAAAAAAAGAAAATATGTTTGAATAGCTGTACAATGTGTTTGTGGGTTTGTTTTGTTTTTCGAGACAGAGTTTTAGTCTTGTTCCTCAGCTGGAGTACAATGGCGCGATCTTGGTTCACTGCAACCTCCACCTCCCAGGTTCAAGCGATTCTCCAGCCTCAGCCTCCCAAGCAGCTGGGATTACAGGTGCATACCACAACACTCAGCTATTTTTGTAGTTTTAGTAGAGACGGGGGTTTCACCATGTTGGCCAGGCTGGTCTCGAGCTCCTGACCTCAGGTGATCCACCCGCCTCGGCCTCCCAAAGTGCTGGGATTACACTGTGCCCAGCCTGTTTATGTTTTAAGCCAAGTGTTATGACAAAGGAGTCAACAATTTAAAAAAAAGAAGTTTATAAAGTAAAAAAGTTACATTAAGTTGATTTATTGTTGAAGAAATACAATTTCTAAAATAAATGAGGGTAGCCTAAGTGTACAGCGTTTATAAAATCTGCAGTAGCAGGCAGGAACACCCTAGGCCTTCACATCCACTCATCACTCACTCAGGACAACTTCCAGTGCCAAAAGCTCCATTCATGATAAGTGCTCTATACAGGTGAACCATTTTTAATCTTTTATACCACATGCTTCTTGTACCCGTCCTTTCTTCTTTCTTTCCTTTTCTTTTTTTTTTTTTTGAGACAGGGTCTCACTCTGTCGCCCAGGCTGGAGTCCAGTGGCGCAATCTCGGCTCACTGCAACCTCCACATTCCGGGCTCAAGAGATCCTTCCCAAGTAGGGAAGGCCTCCCAAGTAGCTGGGACTACAGTCACCAGGTGCCACCACACCTGACTAATTTTTGCATTTTTTGGTAGGACGGGATTCACCATGTTGGCCAGGCTGGTCTTGAACTCCTGATCTCAAGTGATCTGCCCACCTCCGCCTCCCAAAAGTGCTGGGATTACAGACGTGAGTCACCACGACCTGACTCCTGTACCTTTTCTATGTTCAGATACATCTACCATTTTGTTATAATTACCAACAGTTTTCAACATAGTAAGAAGCTGTACAGGTTTGTGGCCTAGGAGCAATGGGCTCTGCCACAGTCTAGGTGTGCAGCAGGCTGTCTGTCCAGGTTTGTGTATGTCCACTCCATGATGCTCACACAATCATGAAATTGTCTAACAATGCCATTTCCCAGAACATATCCCTGTGGTTAAGCCATGCATGATGGTATATGGGTGTATACATGTGTATACACAATACTGTCATGTGTTATATATATATATGTATAAATGTATACAACATATATATGTACACAAATACACACATATACGCTGAGGGGAAATGACTAGATGGCTGATTTCTCAGGGAAGAGAGAAAATGAGTAGTCGGGGTTCCATACTCCCCAGCCCTGAACTTTCCCTGTGGAAGCCTCCAGGGTGTGTAAGAGATGGGGGGAAGTGGGGGTGCCATGGGGAAAGGCAGGACTATGTGCCAGGAACACACTGTACCTTCAGTCTTCATAGAAATCCAGCAAAGTAGGCCGGATGCCATGGTTTACACCTATAATCCCAGCATTTTGGGAGGCCGAGGTGGGCGGATCACCTGAGATCAGGAGTTCAAGATCAGCTTGACCAACATGGAGAAACCCCACCACTACTAAAATACAAAATTAGCCAGGTGTGGTGGCGCATGCCTGTAATCCCAGCTACTTGGGAGGCTGAGGCCGAAGAAT